ATCTCTCTCTCGGCAGAAGCTCGGCGTCGACGACAGTGCGATGTAGAGGTGAGTTCAGCAGTGAGGCACATGTTAATGTTGGTGACAGGGGTGACCATCGGCCTCGATGGATCTACCGTTACTGGTGATAGGAGGGTCAGATATGCCTCCACTAGCCTCAGATGAGCAGCAGGCCTCCCTAGCTTCTCCATTTCCATCATCGATCTAGCGGATGCGGCCTCAAGAGGTGCGGATCCACTGCCGTTGAACTCGGGAGGGGCTGGCCTCCCTCGCCTCTCCTTCTCCATCGTCCATCCGGCGGCGGCGGCCTCAAGAGGGCCAGATCCACCACCGGCGCCCTTGGGAGCTTCATATGCATCCAGTCAAGCTGGGGACGGTGGGAGCAGAGGCAACGAGTTCGGTTGCGATGGCGACAATGACGATGGCAAGTAGGACGTCGCTGAGCAGCAAAGACCAGTCCATCCACTCCAGCGAGGGAAGCAGAGAAGCGTGCTTTAGTCTGTGGTGACGTTGATAGTGACACCGACGACAGCAGTATGGTTGGGTTGGCTAGGGTTTCTAGATTTTGATATTTTCGGAATTTTTTTGCCAAATTTTGTTTTTTGCAAAATTCATTTTCGCATGCGGTTCAGCTAGGCGCCTCGAAAATTACTAATCTTCATAGACATCTACGAGTGGGTGAGCGCTTTGCTTGCCTGCAAAAATGTGTTTTGACTATTTGGAAAAAGGGTATATGTAGTAGTGTGGGGAGAGGAGAGGGAGAGATGCCGGACTTGAGTGGAGGGGAGACTTGAAGTGGGGGAGAGAGAGAGAGAGGGGAGGGGAGAAAAAAGAGTGCCAAGAGAGAGGGGTATTTTTTTGATGAGGGTGGACCTGTTAAGACACCCGGATGCGAAAATTGATTTTCGTAAGCTGTCCTTGAACGATCCGAGGGGGAGCGATTTTTGCATACGGTGATAATTATAGTCTGCCTACAACCTAAAAGCGGTCTCATCTGAAAAATTGATTCGGTAGTAGTGAGTAAATCGGCACATATGTGATTTCTGTGAGAAAAGGTAAATTTTATAGAATTATATCTAAGTTACTGTTGGTATTTCTTAACGACATTACTAGAAATATTCATTCTCAGCAATGGCGCCAGAAATTGTCCTGGTATATTTATGGTTACAGAAGTAATCCGCAAGCGCACGGATATACCATTGTAGCATTTTACCCGGAAGTATTCCACGGTATTGTATTTTTAATCCCAAGGGAAGATAATAAGAGTGGACTATGCTAATACACTTTATACATATGTTACTTGTAATTGTCAAAGCCTAAGCAGGGGTTAATTTTCATATAGGGGTAGAATGACACGAAGCAAAGCTAATCAAATCCTCATAATAAAGTAATTCTAACTAAGTGGAAGAAGAATTAGAAAGCATTCAATTCCTATACTTCTAGTATACACTCAAATCCTAGTTTACATCTGCTAGTATACAATCGTGTGGCCAATACCCCCTAACAGTGCCCTCCTGGTACTTCGAGAGACCACCCCGGGTTGCTGAGTTCCTTACGACAACCTATCATGACCGTCCAACCGGGGCTAAATACGGAGGAGTACCCTCCCCAGAAATTTGTCTTAGGAATATGTACTAACGTGGAGGAATACCTGTACTGAGCAAACACGATTTGAGTAGATTGAACCTATCTTGTTCGCTTCAGCAGGGTCTTGTTTGGCCCAAGCCAATGACGGTTACTACCGACCTCCCAATGACGGTTGTACCGGTTTTGGTGCCCCCAACCGTCATTCTCAAGCTATAATAGGACCTCCCCTCCTTCATTTTAACACACACCAAGAAGGATTCAAGAAGAAAAAGTTCTCTTAGTTTACTCACTTTGCTCTAGTGCTAGTAGGATTAGAATTAGAATAGTCTTCCTTAGTTCTTCGAGTCTCCGGAGAATTCGGGTATGGCCCTTGTAAGACTTTATCCAGTAATAAAATATTCTTCTTTATATAGTTTTGGTCCTTGTTGGTATTTCTTAACGACATTACTAGAAATATGAATTCCCAGCAATGACGCCAGAAATGGTCCTAGTATATATATGGTTATAGAAGGAATCGGCAAGCGCACGGATATACCATTGTAGCATTTCACCTGGGAGTATTCCAAGGTATCGTATTTATTTAATGCCAAGGGAACATTGTAAGAGAGAACTATGCTAATAATGTATATATGCTACTTGTATGATCAGAGTCTAAGCAGGGGTTGATATATTCATAACGGTAGAGTGACACGAAGCAAAGAACTCATATCTCTCATTAAACAATCCTACACTATGTGGAAGAAGAAATAGAAAAGCAATCAATTCCTATACTTCTATACACTCAATCTTAGTTTACATCTGCTAGTATACAACTATGTAGCCAATACCCCCTAACAGTGCCCTCCTGGTGTTTCGAGAGACCACCCCGGGTTGCCGAGTTCCTTACGACAACCTATCATGACCGTCCAACCGGGGCTAAATACGGAGTAGTACCCTCCCCAGGAATTTCTCTTAGGAATATGTACTAACGTGGAGGAATACCTGCATTGAGCTGTCACCATCAGAGGCCCACCTCTACTATCCCGCAGCATATATCCCTAATTAATGATATTTAATAATCTAAGTACCGTGCTTACATTACTAAATACTACTCTACACCCGTGCACATGACATAGAAACTGATAAATCAGACATTAAACCCGCACCATTGCACCTCTCTGGATGGCTACCCACAAAATCGGTACAACACAGATATAAGGTAAGAACAGTACTCAGACTAAACAAAGTACCGAAGATATATAAAGAAGAATATTTCATTAAAATTGAAAGTATTACAGAAAAGAATACAAGAGCTGCTAGAGCCATACCGAAACTCTTTCGAAGACTCCGAGGACTCCGAATACTATTCTATTCTACTCCACTTAGCACTAAAATACTAATACTAAAGTATGAAGAGGAATTTGAGCTAACTTGAGTGTGTTGAGAGAGTGAATGAGCTCCTCCTTTTATAGGGCCGGTATGACGGTTGTACCAATGCGAATTGTGCATTTTACCCTCACAACCGTCATTAAGAGTGCATCCGGATCGTACACGTGGAGGGCCAGGCTGATTGGGCACCGCCAGTTCGGCCGAAACCTGGGCTAGCCCAACAGGCCTCCAGCTTCGGTACAGTCTTTGACAGGTGGGTCCTATTGACGGTTTTGTAGTTAAGGCGGTTTCCAGGACGGTTACACCTGGCTTCTGAGCCCTCTCATCCATAAGCTTGCTTAGGAGTGAGGTTTTCTCCACTTTCTCTTTATTTTATTTGATAAATTCCTGCAACATATTGTTCTCCAAGTATAAGTGGAACTATATTATTTGAAAACAAATATGCATTGTAAGCATAGCTAATTCTCCATTATTTTAGTTATATTGACGGTCAAAATTTGTCTGTAACGACTGTCAACAGTTACACAAAATCATAGGGATTTTGGTGCACGACACAAATCCACATCATTAACCAATTTTCACGAAACCACATCATTAACCAATTTTACATACTCCTCAAAATTTTAAAATGATTTAGTTACATCCATGTAAAATTTCTATGATGGATTAAAAAAACTCATAAATTTATCAATTTAAGATGTAATTGTAGAACTCAAAAGGATAGATCAAAGTAAAATGATCAATAGTTTGGTTTTGTGCAACTTAGATCACAGTACCTAGGGTTAAGTGAGATTTACTTTTAAAAGAACACATTAAGCCAGTGTTGGTATTTCTTAATGTCACAGATAAAATCTGCAAGTGCACGGAAGATACCGATGCAGCACTTCAACTGGCAGTATTCCAAGGTATCTATTTCCATAGGGAACGTGTGTGTTCAGTTCCTCTTCAGGTTCATCCAAGGACACAAAGAAAATGTAGGCAAAGGGTAGAGATGATTTCCTAGTGAGAAACGGTGTCTACAGAAAGCTCAGTTTAATCCTAATGCGATACTTCAGGCACTGGCCAGCTCGCTACTCCCAAATGTCACTCTACTACATACCCGTACATGGAGGACTTTAGTGTACTTGAGGGCTATCACCACCTCTACACCGATCTCAAACCTACTGTGGGATACGAAGGAATCACCGGAAATTAATTACCCAGATACTGCGTCTATTCAATTAATAACTACTTTAGTGCTAGCTAAATTCTAAAGCGATCACAATAAATTAATGGACTTTAGTGAACAATGATCCCGCATGCTAATTAGAAAATAACCAAGAATTATTCACATGAAGTAAATCTTAATTACTCAGGAAGATAATTCTATTAAACCAGAGTAATTAACAATGTACAAAAAGTAAGAGGAGATTACCGACAACTCCAGAACTCGTCCGATTTCTTCTACCATACTCTCCCTATTCTATGTGTAAAATAAATCATACAAAGAGCCTCTTATAATTCAGCTCAAGCTACATCTTGGTGTGAGTTGGAATGAAGGATGAGGAGTGGTATTTATTGGTGGAGGTGCCTTCGGAGTGTGGAGACCCTCCATGGAATCATATGAGCATCTTCACTCTCCTCAAGCCAAGCGTCTATTTGGATGACAGTTGGAGAGCCGAAAACGGTAGAAACCCACATTGGGGAGCGGTTGCTACCGAACTCAACTTGGGCCTGGGCTAGTGGCCTCTGTCAGGGTTGGGCTGAACCCTGGCCGGCTCCGTTGGCCCCGTTTTTCCTCCTGAGCACTAATATTGGGTACCTCATTCTATTGGTACGGTGGTTGGGCCCATTTGGAGGTGTTTAATTGGGTTTTTGGTCCGAAACTCCATAAGTTTGAATATGAGTTTGATTCTCCTCCTTCATGTATATTTCTTCTCAACTTAGGTAGTTTGTCACCTACATCTAAATATACACCAACACTCGTGGAAATTATTAGAAATATATCCTACCACTATTTTGGATATTTTATACTTTCAGATATTTTATACTTTCAGTTTTATGTAGGTATTGACGGCGAGAATTTGGTATTTAACAGCCGTCAACAGCCAGTTCACTGCTTCGTGCCGGAATTTCAATTGTTCATCCACAAATTAACACATCACAGATTCAATTTCTATCAAGCCTAAAATTTTACTAAAATTAGAAGAATTATCATCTTTGCATGGCTGATCTAAACTTAAAAATTTATCAGTCATGAAGCGAGGCTTTTGGTTGTTCCCCTGACGCGCCCTGAACTAAGCTCCCTTTCTTTTGCGATCCATCTGGTTGCGCTGATCCTCCTGACAAATCAACTTGTCAAATAGCTTCTCAAAATCAGTATAATCTCCATAGATGACCTGGTTGGTTAGTTCATCATTAAGACCAAACATAAACTTCTCTTGCCTCACGGCATCGGTGCGCACATCAACAGGAGAGTAGCGTGTGAGGCGATGTTTGTAGATCCTTAAGTGTCAAATCCGACTGCCAATTCCTGCAAGAAAGAAAATTAAAGAATATAAAATTGAATACTAAACTTAGAGGTAGTGGATATTACTAACTAGTTCCACAAGTCTTGGTGAATATTTGTATGCATGTGAATTATGGAGGAAAACCGTCTGACATGCGATGAAATATACTAATCAGACGTGAATACACAGATTGGATGGCCCAAAAATCAGAGTAAAACCAACATATTTAAGGCCATCCACCGTACACCATCATGAAGACCCACTAGGCAGTGACCCAGGTGCAAGGTGGCACGAGGCGGCTCGACTAGGTTTGGCCGAACTAGGGATGGCTGTTGATATTTCTTAACAACATTACTAGGAACTTAGTCCCAAGCAATGTTGTCAGAAATATTAAACGGTAATCGTATGGGTTAAAGAAATAATTCCGCAAGCACATGGATATACCGCTATAGCATTTCACCCGGAAGTACGTCCAAGATATCGTATTTATTTAATCCCAAGGGAAGATATGGTAGGATAGTAATATGCTATAAATTCTTATCATACTTATGTAGATCAAAGTCTTATGCAGGGATTAATCAATTGAGGATAAGGATAGATTTGACACATAAAAGGTTCAGTTTAGAATACTCTCACTAAATTATAAGTCTAGGCTAAATAGAGAAGAAATTAGAACAACATCATTTATGCACTTCTAGTATATAGTCATTTAGTATACACTTACTATTGTACAACTCTGTGGCTAATAACTCCCTAACTATGCCCCCCCTGGTATATCGAGAAACCGCCCCATATTGTCGGGTTCCTTACGACAATCCGTCATGGCTATCCAACCGGTTAAAGATACGGAGGAGTACCCACAGCAAGAACCTCTCTTAGCCCTACCTACGCACGTGGAGGAATACCCATACTGAGCTGTCACCATCAGCGGCCTACCTCTACAGATCCGTGGCATATAGCACCACTTAATGATATCTAATAATCTAAGCACCACGCTTACAATACTAAATATTACTCTACATCTCTACAGATGACATAGAGCAACTATATAAATAGACACTTAGACAATACTATTGCATATCTCTGGTAAGCTAACTACATATTTAATACGAGACAAGTATGAGCTAAAGTTCGTACTCGAATAATTATGCAAGTATAGTAAAGGACCAAAACTAGATAAAGAAAAGTATTTCATTATCGGATAAAGTCTTACAAGAGAGGGAACAGATACTAGATCCATACCCGAAATCTCCGGAAGACTTGAAGAACTAGAGAAGACTATTATAATTCTAATTTCTACTAGCACTGGAGCAAAGTAAGTAAACTAGAGAGCTTCTTCACCTGAATCATTCATGGTGTGTGTTGAAATGGAGGAGGTGAGGACCTTTTATAGCTGATCAATGACGGTTAGGAGCGACAATACCGGTCACAACCACTATAGAAAAGTCAGTAGTACCGTAATAGCCGGTTGTGGCTGGGCCGGGACATGCCGGGGTCAGCAGAACCTAGAGGTCCGCCGACCCCTGGCCAGCCCCCCTGGCTGTGGACTTCCTCTTGGGCCCTGACATTTTACTCCTTGGCCCAGTGGCATGGTGGTTGGGCCCATTTGAAGATGTTCTAATGAGTTTGTGGATCCATCCATCCATGTCTGCCACATGTTGGGCTCTGATTGGTTGAACGGTGAATTTCCATCATTTCTCCATTTATGAAGTAATCTACTGTATTCAAATACTTTGCCAAGTACAAGTGGACTTGGATTATTTCTAAGTAAATATGCATCCAAGCATTGCTAGTTCTCCATTATTTCCGGAAGTATTAACGGTCGAAATTGGTCTATAATGACTGTCAACAATGGCTGCCCTCGTGCTCAGCTTCCATGTGGTGACAGTTATCACTATCCCGAAGTCGGTGGCACAAGGCTCAACGCAAGAAACTGCCATCCAATGACGGCTGGAGGACATGTGGAGGTTTGAGAGGAGTTGGAGGAGAATATTTCCATAGCATCTCCACTCTCTCAAGTCGTATCCACATTATAAGTAGCCCCTCTACTCCTCACTTCAAATTTGCACCAACAAGCAGACTACAACTTCACTTATATACATAGGCATTGCTCTTTAAGGGTAGGAATAGAATGGGGAAGCTCCGAAAGGAGTGCACCAAATTTCAGACATCTCTCCGGGGTTCCGGAGAAGTGCCGGATATGTTGGCATTCTTCTAGGGGAGTTCTGGAGGAGTGCCGGAGTCCTGAAGATGCCGGTACTCCCTCCGATCTTGTACCTCGATGGATGCTTCTTTTATAAGTAAGTATTTGTGATCTCCTTTGGTATTTAATTTTATTTAGTTTTATCACTCTGCTTAGGTAGACTACCTTAATCTTCTCTGTGACGTTGGGATTAGGATAGTAATCAATAGCACAGACACGATGTCTAGGCTAGAGATTACCTTTGTTTGATGTGTGCTCCACGGGTTGTAGAGGTAGTTAACAGGTGGTGACAGTATTCGGGTACATCATAGAGCCATAGCCAGAGTCTCCTTGGCAGACCAGGGGTAAGCCGATGCTTGAAGCAATTGATAGAGTTTTATCTTAACTTGATTAAGATAATTAACCCATAGGAATCCTCTCTATTCTTGGCCTACCATATAGTTATTTCCCTTGGAAGAATCTCGTTCTTAGATTATACACATACGTTGCCTGTGGATACTATATCCTGGAATACTCTTGGGGTGAAGGCTACGACTGTATTTGTGCGCTTGCGGATTATTCTGTCGTCGTAATAAATAATAATAGGCGGTTGAACTCGTGTAGGTACTCTATAGCTATCTTGTTTCCCTAATGAAGCGCATGGAACTCCCTCTTATTTTGTGCTACAGTCCCATCGGGAACCTATGCCTTCCTGAAGCTACGGCAAAATTCCGCCCAAGTGACATATGTCACAGCTGAGCGGGTGACCATGTAGTTGTCCCACCAAGCAGAAGCGGGACCTTGAAGTTTGTACGTGGCAAAGACAACCTTCTCCTAGTCGTTCCACCGGAGGAGGTTCATCTTCTTCTCAATGGCATGAAGCCAGTCATTGGCTTCCATTGGGTTGATGGTGCTGGAGAAAGTGGGTGGCCTGACATGGAGAAACTAAAGTAGTTTGGACTAATGTGGTGGTGGTGGACCAAACTGCTGATTCAGCTGCTGCAGTGCCTGATGGTGCATCATCTGCTATTGCATATATTGGTGTTGTTTTTGCATCTGCTGCATATCATTGTATGATATGCGTCTAATTGGCCAACACCTGAGCGATTGTTGAATTCTCTAGCGGTGGAGGTGGACCATTGCTAGTTGCACCACTGGTATTGGCTCCTCCAGTCTATTCCTCACTGCTGCTACCATCACCTGTTGCATGGTCGCCATTCCTTGTGTTCACCATCTGAATGGGGATGGACAGAAAAAGGGGGAAAGGAAAGAATATAGACTGCTAAAAAACCTAAGCTTTATTACATTATAATTTAAGTGCAATTGTCTAATCTGAATTAAAACAACTACAAAGAAAACAATTCAACTCCTAATTAAGGTAGTCATACCGCAACCACTGTTGACGGTCGTTGTCGATCAGTTTCGACCATCAATATTACCAAATTAAGAGAGAACTAGTGATGCTTGCAATGCATATGTTTGTTAGAATAATAATATTCCACTAGTATTAGGTATATTAATCCTTTGTAGAGAATGACACTAAAGTGGAGGAGAATCGGCATCAACATAGACGATAAATCAATCGGACAATGTCGAGAACCAGACTTATGTATGAATGGGAAAAGAACTCAGAATTGACACGATGAATTAGGCCAAAATTCACAAGTCTACGAAGTGAAGCAATAGAGGAATTCGCCAGGCGAAGATGGGCTGGTTTGGGCCAGCCCATGGTTCGGCCGAACCAGGGAGTTCGGCCGAACCCCCATCTCCACTGTTGAGGCCAGGGTTTGGCATGGACGTCCAAGATTGCACCCCAATGACGGTTGGAGGGTACTTCGGACAATTCCTCTTCCACAACCGTCATAACCACCTCTAGATAAAGGCTTCACTCTCTTAACTTCAACACACACCTCAAGCAATAGCTCTCTCATTTCTCTTAAGTTTAGTTTAGTAGTACCTAGCTGGTGGAATAGAAATAGAATAGGAGTCAGGATTCCGTAAGCCTTCGGAAGAGTTCGGGTATGGCTCTAGTAGCTTTTCTCTTCTCTTTTGTATGCTTTGTACTTTTATTAGAATACTCTTCTATATATATTTATGGTATTGAAATATTCTCCGAGTATATGAGTACCTACTTTATATTATGTTCTTATTATACTAAATATACGGCTAGCTTATCTAGGAGATGCTTTGGTGCGGATATAGTGTTTGCTTATGCAATTACTCTAGGTCATGACGATGATATTAGAGTGGTCATGACGATGATATTAGAGTAGTATCGGGTAGTTTAGACGTGGTGTCTAGATTACGGGATATCATTATTTGGGGTTATATATTGCGGATGAGAGGTGGGCCGCTGATGGCGACAGCTCAATACGGGTATTCCTCCGCGCCTATATATAATCCTAAGTTAATTTCCTGGGGAGGGTATTCCTCCGTATTTAGCCCCGGTTGTATGGTCATGACGGGCTGTCGTAAGGAACTCGGCAGTCAGGGGTGCCTTCTTGAAGTACCAGGAGGGCATCGGATAAAGGGTATTAGCTAGTATATCAGTTAACTAGAATGTATGTATACTATATATATTAGACGTATAGGAATAGATTTCCTTTCTCTTTTCTTTCCACTTAGCTTAGATGATATATTATGAGGATGAGTAGTTAATGCTTGTGTGTCACTCTACCCTTTGATTATCTTAACCCCTGCTTAAAATATGATTATCACAAGTAATATATAAATTATTAGTTGAGTTCTCTCTACATGATCTTCCCACGGGATAAAATAAATACGATACCATTGGAATACTCTAAGGTGAAATGCTACAATGGTATATCCATGCGCTTGCGG